GTTTTTCAGCCCAGAACATACAGACCTAAAATTAGAAATATTTCAATTTATGTTACTTCTTAAGTACATATACGGATGTTTATTAGAATATATTAAAATATAATTACTTCTCGGCAAAAATTGAACCAGTTTACAATTGTGGCCGATGCAACGCCAGTCTCATCCTGCGTGTCATTTTGACGTGGATGACGCAACATTAAAAAACATGCAACAATTTTACAAATTGTTGCAATGTCAAGATGACTTCGATGGAACCAAGTACCAATCTTAGCACTTTTTTGAAATCACACTGCATGGAGACACGTTTCTTATGTACATTTTTTACAAAGTACCGTTTTCTATATTGGTACAATAACGTTTCTTTATCAATATATAAATCATTGCCACACTTATCACAAGTGTAATAATGATGTAAATATTGATAAAGAAAATTATTGCATCGATGTGAAAACGAAACATGTCTTCAGGCAGTACTTGTATTTGATTTCTGATCGTCAGACGTTCTTGGCTGGTCTTTGGAAATAGACATAGGAGGATAAAGCTCTGCGATGACATGAAAGAAAATTTCGATTCGTTCCAGTTGGCTATAGGAGCGTTTGAAAAGGTATTCGGACAAATATCCAAGAACGTGTTCACCTCTAGTTCCGTACCTTGGAATATTTCCCCGAACTTCTCTCCAAACATGCTCTATATGTTGAGTGTGTGCGCCTGTATATTAAAAAAATTAATGTATGGGTTCCAACTCGCGACTATTTATAATATATATTAACAGTTTTAAACATTTCTCAACAGTTTCAGGATCGACAATATTGTAGGAATGGTTCACTGTCAGATGTTGAAAGCCTTCATTGTTTAAACAATTATATGACTTCCAACAATCTGATATGATGGTGGTTCCTGGCAGTATCCATTCCTTGATAGACGCTAGAAGTGTTTTTTCTGTCCGATCCTCTACTGGATGAATGAAAATCTTCTTTGAGTCTCGCTCGTATCCTCCACAAATCCAATGACCTTTTACAAGTCGGCCACGATTGTATTTCCGTTTCCCAATTTTTACCTCATCGATTTCCATTATGCGCCCTGGGCCACCAAGCTTCTGGCTATGTTTTTCAGCCCAGAACATACAGACCTAAAATTAGAAATATTTCAATTTATGTTACTTCTTAAGTACACATACGGATGTTTATTAGAATATATTAAAATATAATTACGGTAATTATTTCGAATAAGGTCTTTTCTGAATTTTGACAAATATGATCGGATCTCTCGGTAAAACTTTTTGTTGTGACTCCAACAGTGATAATCAGTCAAAGGAGCCCGTCCCCCATCACCCTCACCCCCCAAAAAACGAAAAGCCCCCAAAATTACCGAAAATTAAGTAATTATGTGTAGCAATGTGATATAACAATGCACCCCCATTGTTACCCGGCAGTAGACCGCCGGAAGTCTGGCGCCCGGCGAACACCAGCCGGGCAGGGGCAGAGGCGCCGAGCGCCCATTTTTAAACGCTAATTACGACACGGGCAGAAATAAGCTAGCATGAAAACCTGGCTGTACACGCTCTCAAAAGAGCAACTGATAGCGATAGCCACACAACATGGCATCAAGACAACCAGCACACTTGATGTCATCCGCAGCCGGATGAGTCAATACGTCGACTCACACCCGGAAGAATTTGGGGCCCAAGGCCCGGACGCCCGGAACACGCGGACATCCCCGCGAATTGAAATCGCGCCACCGCCCACGCCTAACAAAGACAGGCGCAGGATTGAACCATCCGCGACAACGCAAATGCTAGAGCATCTGCGTAAGTAGTGACGGCCCTTCGACGGCCGCGACCCGATCGCGTTCCTCAAACGCGTAGAGGACTTCCGTACAGACTATGGATACTCCGGCGAGCAACTCATGAAAGGGTGGTCCGAGCTCCTACGAGGAGACACCGTCGCATGGGCGAGAAATAATCGCGAAGACTGGCAGACGTGGGGGAATTTCTGTAACGCCATCCGCCGGCGATATCTGCCTCCACGATACATCGAAAATTTACAACAGCAAATAGCCGAACGAAAACAGCGAGAGACTGAAAAGTTCGCGCCATACGCGGATGAGATGATGACTCTCATACGCCGAGTTGGGGGGTTTACGCGCGATCAACGACTGTCGCGAATTTATGCGAACATGCGGCCAGATTATAAGAGGTACGTCAAACGCCGGGACGTGCACGACTTGAACGAATTGTTCGATGACACCGCGGAGTTCGAGCGGATCGAGCAGGAGCAACCGAGCCGGAGACCGTATAGCGCTGCGACACCGACCGTAGCGACCGCGTACAACCGGGAGGAGTGCTGCTGGCGCTGTAAACAGCGGGGGCACTCCCGGTTGGAGTACGAGCAGCCGCCCCGACGGCTCCGTCCGGAGTATAACAAGAAGAGAGTCGTTGCCGAGAACAGCCACCTGCCGCCGAGAAACGCCCGCCAGACGCAGCGGGATTACTTCGGCCGAATCCCGGACACCCAGCACCGAGTACGATACACGCCTCGGCCGCACATCACGGCAACGATCCACGGGCACCCCGTGGAAGCCCTACTTGATTCAGGCTTAGAAGTGTCCTTTGTGAACGCCGAGACCGTCGAAACGGCCAAGAGACTCGGCATCAGGCCTACCGAGGAAGATGGCCAAATACAAATGGCAAATGACACCGCCGCCCAGACAGTCGGAAAAATTCGACTGCCGATCCGCATGCAGGGGCGGACCTACGTGGGGCGTTTGGATACGGAACGATTGGACACCGCTCGATTGGACACGTAGTATTGGACACGGAACGATTGGACACTGCACGATTGGACACAGAATTATTGGACACCGCACGATTGGACACCACACAATTGGACACTGCACGATTGGACACCACACAATTGGACACTGCACGATTGGACACCACACAATTGGACACTGCACGATTGGACACCACACTATTGGACACCGCACGATTGGACACCGCACGATTGGATACAGCAGAATTGGATATGTATGGCTTTATTATACGAATTTTTACATATAATATATTGTTTAAACAAGTTTTGAATGTAAAATATGATAAATTATAACTTTAGTAAAGTTAAAATAGATTAACGGGCCGATAAATTGAGGCGCTGATTTTTATTTACAGGATATTTACGAAATTGAAATTCCCTGCTCTATCAAAGATGCACAATTAAAAATAAGCAATGAAGGGTGTTTTTGATAAATAAAATTAGGAGGCTCTGTGCAAGTGACTGATTGCAATTACGTTACCCTTGTGCAAATGACAGATTACTTGCTCAGTGTTCGGTGATAGATATCAGCAGTCATTGATTTTCTGATTATTAATAAGAGAATTAATAAGAGAAATTTGTTTATCTATATTTACATATTGAAAGCTTACTCGAGATAATATTGCGAACCTACATTTAAATCCACATGCCTGCGAAATATATTACGAAATATATACGGAAATAATAAAATTGCTGTATTTATATTTTGTCGACTGTAAAGCATTATTTTAATTATTGTGAAACATAATCACATCAACAATGTTACTGTGGTTATGTATACGCATAATGATAATATAAGATATGGATTTGCATCAGTTTTATACATATATAACTACTTATCTTTCAAGATATTTTACATACGCAGAATCTTCACATAAATAATTCATAGGTAAAATAACTCGTAGATAAATATCTTATTTCAAACTTAAAATAATCTAATTTTTTTTTTTTTATTTGAAGTCTACGATGTGATCTTTTTCTTTCGCAGACTACATTCAATTTTTTGCCCTTTTCAGAAATCTCATCGTAATTTGCAACAACATTTTATGATTATTAAAATAACGCTGTACTATCGACAAAATATAAAAAAAGTGTAACGATACCGTTACTAGCCTCGCGGGCCATATTATTTCGTGCAAGCTTTCAATACATAAATATAGATAAACAACTTTCTCTTATTAATTAATTTTACAGAGAGAGTCAATGAAACGAGTATTTGTCCATTATTATCACCGAATGCAAGTAACCTAAGCAAGTAATCTTCATCTGTCATTTGTACAAGGGTAACGTAACCGCAATCAGTCATTTGCACAGAACCTCCTAATCTTACTTGTCAGAAAAATAAATAAATATTATAAATATTCTTCTTTTACAGATTTTAAATGGTAATGATAATGATTAATAACTATTGCATTACATACATAATTATTTTTTTAATGCAAATAAAATTTATTAAACCACATAAAATATATTGCGCGTACAATATAAAATATAAAGTATTATAAAAGAAATTTGAATCTTGACATGTTAAAAAGAGTTTTACACACTCTTTTTACAAACACGTGAAAATAACTGAAAATATTGTTAAACAATAATCATGTATGTTATAAAATATTTAAAACAACATATGTAACAACTAATTTTGCACTTTACATATATCGCAGTATAATTATAACTATTACGTACCACATTACAAATTATAACGCAATGTATGACAATAAAAAGAATTAAAGAAAAACTTACAGAAATAAAATTTCTAGAAGATTATTATTTTCTCATAAACAAATCTAATGTTAAAAGTTTTATTATATAATAAATCTTTGATTTCAGCTTACAGTACAAACTATACAACTAATACAAATCTATATTAGAAAATTTCCTCTGCTATTGCTTTGATATAAATCTGTTTAAGATATATCCTTATTCTTCTTGTTCAAATAGAGATCATCATAACTAAAAATGATAAAAATTTATATAAATTAAATATGGAAATTTAGATTCTTTGATCTTTGTTTCTATCCAGCAAACACAGATATATAACTGTTATATAACATGTAACTAACATATACATTACATGTTATATAACAATTATATATCTCTGTTTGCTAGGATACTATTAATATGTTTTAGAAGATATATGTGTTTAATAAATATAAATCATACCTAAATTATATTATGGTGTTATTATTGGCATGTAGTTACTGTAGGTGTTGTTGCAAGCAGGACATCTTTCTTGTAATAACTTTTGTATGCAGTTTTTGCAGCAACATAAATGCCCACATGGTATAAAAACTATCTCAGATTTTTCAACTAAGCATATGATACATCTTCCTTTTTCATATAAACTGTTCGTATTTATAGTTGATTTTATATTCTTAATAGATAAAAATGGTATTTCTTGTTCGTCTTCCTCTGTATCTTCATTATTAATCCAGTAACCATAATCATCATCGGGAACTTCATAAATATGTTCTACAAAAATAATTCTTTTTTACTTTATATATATATGCCACCGTATTTTACATATATTTAATAATATACTTATATTTAATTACCCTCATTATTATCACTACATTCTTCAGCGTCTCTATTTTCATCAACCTCTATATTTTCTGAATAAGAAAGAATGCTTTGACTTTCGTCTTCAATATCAGCAATATCAGCAGTTGCAACTAAACAAAGAATTAAATAGAAAATTAAACAATTAGAGAATTATCCATTTTAAAAACACAATATAAATAAAAAACAAAATAAAAAACATTGTTTAATAAATAACCCGAGAAATGTCTGGTTTCGGGGGTGTCGGACAGAATTCAGATCCACGAGAATCTAAACCGAATATTCAGAGAGCGAAAAAGTGTTCTAAAGGCAACGTGCATCACGATAGACCGGTACTCACAGAATGATCGAGGATTTCCGGAAGGGTCGATATCGACGCAGGAGCGCGGATAAGGTCCTGAGAGCGTGCTTATGATTGGGTGATAACATTGCGCGAGACTAGTTAGATTGATAGGACAGGCTGCGGGATTGGGTCACGGCCGCGTACAAGAGGAAAAAGGAAGAGAGAGAGAATGCTAGAGAGAAGGACTAGAGTAAGTGAGATGCCGGTGCAAAGATTGAGAAAAGGGAGCGATATTTCCTGAACAAACATAATATATAAATATGTTAGGATATAAATATTAACTTTATAATATTAAGTACAAACTTTAACTGAATAAAATCTGAAATCATTAAACAAAAATTGTGACATTATTTACTTGAAAATGATTACAATTATTATGTATTTTTTCTACATATAGGGCTAGTTTATACTAATTTTTTATTACGCATATTAAATACTATATTAAATTGCTCTAATGATGTAAACAATGCCCTATTAAGCTAGTACGATATGAATCAAAAGTGTTATGCCTCGGGTGAGGCACAGTAAATTTCGGGATCGTTGCCGGATTAAGATTTAGGAATCTGGGATGCGTCTGGCGGGTTACCCGTAGCACTGGACACTTTTGAAGTTAAATAAAACTTTTATTCATTTCAAATGGTCTTGGTTATAATTCGTCCTCGTATTTATTACCTACTCGGGTCGCGTATCGTGTTATCTGACACTCGCGTGCGCGTGTTTGGAGTCGGGTTTACGTCGCGAGACTTGCTCCTCGATCTCCACGATTTTTACTGAGTGTGACTACTCGATATTACAATAATTATCGACACTCGCTGTTGACACTTGCGACTGTTAGCGCTACTACCCGCGTAATATTAATTAAGGATAAAGACTGCCCGCCGATCGTTAGCGATGGGTCTTTTTATTATCTCCCCTTGGTTTCTAATCAATAATTACCATTAATTAACAAATAAAATATTTTCGAGAATTTACTAAACTAAAAAGTTTAAGGAGACTAGAAAGATTTCAATGGCCAAAAATTGGGCAAAACTCGAATGACGATTGTGGACGAACAAATAAAGACACAATTTTTTTTGCAAGATTTTATACATTCTTAACAAACAAAACAAACGTTGTAATTTTCAAAAATATTAATAATTAAGGAAGATATTTGTATCATTACTAAAAAACATAAAATAATATAAAAAAAGATACGCAGAGATATTGTGGATATAAGGATGAAAATAGCTAAATCCGAAATTTGCTTCAGCGACATATCGTGAAATATGAGGACCGATTTCTTCGAAGTAACGGCAAAAGCGGGACCGCTCATTTCAACTACATCTTTAAATTAATTTTAATCAGAGATTATACGTATGAAGCTTTAATGGTACAAGTTAAAGCATGCGTAAATTCTTCGTGGAAATTATTTTAATCGATAATTACCATAAGTTAAAAGATAAAATACTTTGGAGAATCTGTCAAACTAAGAAGTTTAAATTTAGAAAAATTTTTATTGATAGTACATATACGTTCTGTTGCTTCTAACTTCGACTTTTATACAATACATTAATGTGGAAGGATGAATACGCAAAGATATTACGGATATAAGGATGAAAATAGCTAAATCCGAAATTTGCTTCAGCGACATATCGTGAAATATGAGGACCGATTTTTTCGAAGTAACAGCAAAAAGCGGGACCGCTCATTTCAACTACAACTTTTAATTAATTTTAATCAGAGATTATATGTATGAAGCTTAAATGGTACAAGTTAAATCGTGCGTAACTTCTTCGTGGTAATCATTTTAATCGATAATTGCCTAATTTAATCGATAAGTTAACAAATAAAATATTTTCGAAGATTTACTAAACTAAAAAGTTTAAGCTTAGAAAAATATTTATCAATAGCATATATACGTTCTGATACTACTAACTTCGATTTTCACACAAAATATTACTATGTAAAGAATAATATGCAGGGATATTATAGATATAAGGATGAAAATAATAATCCGAAATTTGCCTCAGCGACATAGCGTGAAATGTGAGGACCGATTTCTTCGATGTAACGGCAAGAAGCGGGACCGTTCATTTCAATTACAACTTTTAATTAATTTTAATCAGAGATTATATGTATGAAGCTTAAATGGTACAAGTTAAAACGTGCGTAAATTCTTCGTGGAAATCATTTTAATCGATAATTACCATAAGTTAACAGATAAAATACTTTGGAGAATCTGCCAAACTAAGAAGTTTAAAATTAGAAAAATATTTATCAATAGCATATATACGTTCTGATACTACTAACTTCGATTTTCACACAAAATATTACTATGTAAAGAATAATATGCAGGGATATTATAGATATAAGGATGAAAATAATAATCCGAAATTTGCCTCAGCGACATAGCGTGAAATGTGAGGACCGATTTCTTCGATGTAACGGCAAGAAGCGGGACCGTTCATTTCAATTACAACTTTTAATTAATTTTAATCAGAGATTATATGTATGAAGCTTAAATGGTACAAGTTAAAACGTGCGTAAATTCTTCGTGGAAATCATTTTAATCGATAATTACCATAAGTTAACAGATAAAATACTTTGGAGAATCTGCCAAACTAAGAAGTTTAAAATTAGAAAAATATTTATCAATAGCATATATACGTTCTGATACTACTAACTTCGATTTTCACACAAAATATTACTATGTAAAGAATAATATGCAGGGATATTATAGATATAAGGATGAAAATAATAATCCGAAATTTGCCTCAGCGACATAGCGTGAAATGTGAGGACCGATTTCTTCGATGTAACGGCAAGAAGCGGGACCGTTCATTTCAATTACAACTTTTAATTAATTTTAATCAGAGATTATATGTATGAAGCTTAAATGGTACAAGTTAAATCGTGCGTAACTTCTTCGTGGTAATCATTTTAATCGATAATTGCCTAATTTAATCGATAAGTTAACAAATAAAATATTTTCGAAGATTTACTAAACTAAAAAGTTTAAGCTTAGAAAAATATTTATTAATAGCACATATACGTTCTGTTGCTTCTAATTTCGACTTTTATACAATACATTAATGTAGAAGGATGAATACGCAAAGATATTACGGATATAAGGATGAAAATAGCTAAATCCGAAATTTGCTTCAGCGACATATCGTGAAATATGAGGACCGATTTCTTCGAAGTAACGGCAAAAGCGGGACCGCTCATTTCAACTACATCTTTAAATTAATTTTAATCAGAGATTATACGTATGAAGCTTTAATGGTACAAGTTGAAGCGTGCGCAAATTCGTGGAAATGATTCTAATCCATAGTTACCATAAGTTAACAGATAAAATATTTTCGAGGATTTACAAAGAAATTTGAGCTTAGAGAAATATTTATCATTAGCACATATATGTTTTGATAGCACTAACTTCCACTTCTACATAAAACATTACTATAAAACATAAATTTGATGTAATGGCAAAAAGCGAGACCACTCATTTCAATTACAACTTTTAATTAATTTTAATCAGAAATTATACGTATGAAGCTTTAATGATGCAAGTTAAAGCGTGCGCAAATTCTTCGTGGAAATGATTTTAATTCATAGTTATCATAAGTTAATAAACAAAATATTTTCGAGGATTTACTAAACTAAAAAGATTAAGCTTAGAAAAATATTTATCAATAGCATATACAGGGTGAGTCATTTTAATCAACGCACGCAAATATCTCGTAAAGTAAGCAAGATGGAAAAAAATGTTTTATACAAAAGTTGTAGGGTTCAGAGGGGGACACATGATGAAAATATGAACTTAACCTTGAGTGATCTTTTCAAGGCCAAGTCAATGTGATCAATATTTTCTTAAATGGAACCCCCCATTTTTTATTGCATATTCTTATAGCTTATGTCGAGAGCTTTTCAAAACACTATAATAAAGAAGAATACGCAAAGATATTACGGAGATGAATACAGTTAAATTCAAAATTTAATTCGGCGACGTATCGTGAAATGTGAATATTAATTCCTCGTGGAATTCTAATCGACACTTATAATTAATAAATTAGCAGACATAATATTTTCGAGGGTCTATTAAACTAAAAAAATTTAAGTTTAGATAAATATTTATTAGTAATACATATACGTTCTGTTGCTTCTAACTTCGACTTTTATACAATACATTAATGTGGAAGGATGAATACGCCTGATATTACTAACTTCGACTTATACACAAAACATTACTATATAAAGAAGAATATGCAAAGATATTAAAGATATAAGAATGAAAATAACTAAATCCGAAATTTGCTTCAGCGACGTATCGTGAAATGTGAGGACCGATTTCCTCGATGTAACGGCAAAAAGCGGGACCGCTCATTTCAACAACAACTTTTAATTATTTTAATAAGAGATTATACATATGAAGCTTATAGGGTACAAGTTAAAGCGTGCGTAAATTCTTCGTGGAAATTATTTTAATCGATAATTACCATAAGTTAAAAGATAAAATACTTTGGAGAATCTGTCAAACTAAGAAGCTTAAATTTAGAAAAATATTTATCAATAGCTCATATACGTTCTGTTGCTTCTAACTTCGACTTTTATACAATACATTAATGTGGAAGGATGAATACGCAAAGATATTACGGATATAAGGATGAAAATAGCTAAATCCGAAATTTAAGCAAATAAACAGTTTTGATATAATTGCAACTGAGTTAAACGCAGCTAAGTTTGGTACGTATAATTTTGATTCACATATCAAAAAAATGGTACGGAGTATACTTACAATTAGTTTACATCATACATCTTTTTGACATGTGAATGAAAGTAATACGTATTAAACGTTTAATCCAGCTACGTTTGCAAAGTTGTTTATTTGCTATATTATTTGGAAATATAAAAATTTAATTAGCGCAAAGAGTAAGCACAAAAATTAATATACAGGGTGAGTTTTTTCACTTGAAACTGTAAAATATCTCGGAAAGTAAGCTTTATCGAAAAAAATGTTTCCAACAGAAGTTGTAGGGTTCGGAGGGGGCCACATGATAAAAAAATAGATTTGACTTTGAGTGAACTTTTCAAGGTGAGGTCAATGTGATCAACGTTTTCTTAAATGGAAACCCCCTTTTTTTATTGCATATTCTTGTAGCTTATCTCGAGAGCTTTTCAAAACACTATAATAAAGTATTTTTTCATTAAGTACTTTTTGAGTTATTTTATATCTTAATCTGACATATTTTGATATAAAAGATAAAATATCTCGTAAAATATTTAGTTTTCGATAATCTTACCGTAATACTTTTATGTACAGAATAATAAGACAAATCAATTGGTATAAAAAAAACAAATAATTGTTTAAAAATAAATAATTACATACTTTTTCTTATAAACAATTATTTTTTTTTATACTAATTGATTTGTCTCATTATTCTGTACATAAAAGTATTACGGTAAGATTATCGAAAACTAAATATTTTACGAGATATTTTATCTTTTATATCAAAATATGTCAGATTAAAATATAAAATAAATCAAAAAGTACTTAATGAAAAAATACTTTATTATAGTGTTTTGAAAAGCTCTCGAGATAAGCTACAAGAATATGTAATAAAAAAGGGGGGTTCCATTTAAGAAAACATCGACCACATTGACCTCACCTTGAAAAGACCACTTAAGGTCAAACCCATATTTTTATCATGTGGCCCCCTCCAAACCACCTCTATATTTTCTGAATAAGAAAGAATGCTTTGACTTTCGTCTTCAATATCAGCAATATCAGCAGTTGCAACTAAACAAAGAATTAAATAGAAAATTAAACAATTAGAGAATAATTCATTTTTAAAAACACAATATAAATAAAAAACAAAATAAAAAACATAATATATAAATATGTTATGATATAAATATTAACTTTATAATATTAAGTACAAACTTTAACTGAAGACTAGATACCAATAGATAGATAATTTTGTGCTTCTCGTATCTTTGTATTTCTATATTTATTGAATCGACAACGATTTCTTGTTATTTGTAGACCGTTTAATAAACGATCGTAATTGATTTCTTGATCCGTAATTAATTTCGAAATGTTATCTATAAGAAAATAATTCTTTATTAAAGATATAAATATTTTAAAATATTTGAAACTATTTAATTAATTATTTAATTCTTGAAAAATAACTTTAAATTAAAAAATTAATTTATCTTATCTCTATTATTTATCTCTAAAATATATCTTATCTATATTTTTCTGTATCAACTGAACAAATCTTTTTTATTCTTTCCATTGTATTAACAATCATAAGCTAGAGAGGATAAATATACAGTGTTCGTATTTATAATAAAATGTTATATAAATAAAAATACCTAAAAATATCCAAAGATTTGGATGAACTGTTTGCATTTTCTGCGTCATAATATTATGAAATGATTCTACAAGATTATTGGTTCGAATTGGGCATCCATATACACTTATTTTATTCGATATTGGAAGCCATGTGCTTCTCATATACTTCATAAAAAGTAACATGTTAGGATAATTATCAGATTCCTCATCCGCAATGATTTGCATAAGAGTTAAACCTTCTGAAAACATTTCTGGTGGTGCTAATGCTAATGTCATTGCCATGGATACTATTTTGCCCGGTGCTTTTAAAAGTCCTAATCGTTTCCACCTTTTCAGAACAGCCTATCAAAGTAAACATAAAATATGTAATTAATATATTTAATGAAATGTATCTTTTAATAAATTACATAAAAAAAAACTTTTCAATTATGAATGTAAGAAATAAATAATATAAATAATCAAAGTTGATAGTTTCGCTAATAACAAATATTTAAATACTTGACAATAATGAAACCAGCAGCCTCGTAGAGATGCGTGGGGAAATTGTTCATGGATAGCGTTCATCGATGCTTTTTCGTAATCCATCATTATGAAACGCAAATTACATTGCAAATCAGGAACCAGTTTTATAATTTCTTTCCATATGGATTTGTAAACTAATTGTGTTCTGGCTTCACACAAAATAAATAATACTGCAATACCCTAAAAAATAATACGACAAATTTAACCAAATGACATTTAAACAAATGTATATATGAAATAAAAGTATATGGAATAATAATCATCATTTATCATCAAAATCCAAATACCTTGTCCATGTACCGCACATGTACTGAAAATAATTGTGCAAAGTTTGGTGCTCTAGGTACAACCTGAAATGATATATATTTATATATGACTATAACAACAATTATAATTGCCTACAAATAATATTTCGATAAACTAATGCCAAAGTAAATGTTTTAATTACAAATATAAAGTGCTAGCAATTAATACTTACAGTAAATGTACCATCTATAAAAATTTCAGAACATTTCTCTAATATTCTTAGAAGCTTATCACTAGTAAGTATGTAGGAATACTTGTTATCTTCAGATATAACACAGCCTTTATAAATATATTTTGTAGGTTCATAATCTTGAAGCAAATCGCCAAGATCACATACATTCAAAGGTAACGGAGGACGCATTTTGATTTTTTCCCTTGATAACAGATTTCTCATAGCATGATATGAAATATTAGCTGCTGCATTTGGATTTTTTTGACAAACGGTATCAAATATTTCTTTATTCGTTATAGTGGTTTCTTTACACATTTGAAGCATTTCTTTTTTTAGATTTAAAATATCACTTATATAAAGCTCACTTGGATGATTATGTGTACAGTCTACAATAAACTTTTCATTTTCTTTAATTAGCAGACCTTTACATGCTGTAATACGTCTTTTTGCATAACGATATATGTAATTGTATCTTTTATCAATATTGTATGTACATCCTTCATATACATACAAATAACTGCCCTTTCTTTTTCCAGATATTATCTCCATTTGTGCACTGTAAATAAAAAAATGTTTTCTGCTATATTTATTTTTTATTTTTTTCCTGCTTTTTTAGAACACACACATACACATACACATGTCCCTAACAACACACCTTCTCCGGAGGACATCCGGAGAGTACCCAGAGGACATCCACAGGATATTAAACATCCTCTGAATAACCTCTGGATGGTCTCTGGATGTCCTCTGGACATGTGTGCTGTTAGGGGTGTGTGTATATATAAAGTACGTATTATTATACTATCAAATAAAATATAATAATGTTTTAATTGATGTAATAAACTTGTAAACAGAAAAATCCAATAAAATAAAATAATGTAAAAACCTTGAATGCTACTGTATAAAAAATATTTATATAATAAATATTTATATAATATTCAGAATTTAAACACAATATTATAAGAAGTCAAAATACTTGGAAAACAATTGTATTTCTGTTCGCTAAAGAACAAAGTACTACGCTATTGTTAAGTCGTAAGCAAATTAATCAATCACAGTCGATTATTTTTGAAATTATCGACTCTGATTGATCAATTCGCTTACGACTAACGACATACGACTTATCATAGAACGGGCCAAATATGGTGTCGCTTATATTAGACATTTCATTGGTTGATTTCCTGTGCGCAGGGACTATATTTCTATATGAAGGATAATTGGGATTCGAGCGACACCTGTGAAAGTGAGAACACGTGCCTTGAGTGCCTCTTGTTAATTCGTTTGATAGAAATTATAACTGCCTTTTTCGAGTGCCTCTGCTTCGCTTATAATAACGCTTTATGCTGATTTGCTCGGATCACGCTGAAAACAGTTATCTCCTGCTTTGCTTGTGCGCTGTTTCCTGTGTGCTTTGTACATTCTGTAGTGCGCAGTAATTCGCCATCTTGGCCGGCCGGTCTCCCGGTCGAGCCTCTTCAATCGCAAGCATGTCGATCCAAGATCCCACGAGGGATCCCGCTTTTAAGACAAATCTCTTAACGACTGACGCCTTAACTGTAACAGTTAATAGTTTATTGACGAATAACGACGAAGACAAACTCGATTCGATCGCATCCTCTCTCCTCCCGTTCCCTCCGGAATCCGATAATGTGATGGAGGCGGAAATGGAAATCGAACCAAATAATAATATTCTTCCTGTTTTAAGGGACATCCTTCCGATCGGTGAAGATTGTGGCATCCAGCCTTTGGAGACAGCTAAACCAAAAACCAAAAAACGTAAGAAACTAGAGAAGGAAAAAGCGCCTCTCTTCACAAATGATGGTAATGAGACGAGTGGGGTGGACGGCCTGCATCAGGGTAAGCCTTCTCCTTCTGATCCTCTATTTAATAAGGACGGGCTTGACTTGTCATGGTCTCTGGATGTCCTCTGGACATGTGTGCTGTTAGGGGTGTGTGTATATATAAAGTACGTATTATTATACTATCAAATAAAATATAATAATGTTTTAATTGATGTAATAAACTTGTAAACAGAAAAATCCAATAAAATAAAATAATGTAAAAACCTTGAATGCTACTGTATAAAAAATATTTATATAATAAATATTTATATAATATGGACGGCCTGCATCAGGGTAAGCCTTCTCCTTCTGATCCTCTATTTAATAAGGACGGGCTTGACTTGTCATCCCTTATGGATGCGAATAGATATGACAGGACCTCGCAGGGTCCTTACGATGTCATTATACAGACTCCGGAGGGTTCTCCCTCCTCGATTGACCCTATCGCTGTAGGTCGCCTCTTGTATTCCATCTCCAAAAAAGGTATAGTAGAAATTAAAAAGACAGGCTTCTCAAAAATTAGTATTCAGTTGAAATCCAGAGAAGCGGCAAATAACCTTATTTCTAACCCAATACTCAAGGCCAAGAAATACAATGCTTTCATACCTTTGTTTAGGACTACGAGGAAAGGAATAATTCGAAACGTTCCACTTGACCTCTCGGACGAGGAGATATATAGGGGAATAGACTGTAGTATAGCGATTTCCTCCGTGAGGAGACTGAACAGAAGGGAAAGGGGTGCAGAGGCATCCGCTCTCCCTGGAGAAACTCGGGGATCGGGCTTGGTCCCCTCCAAAACAATATCTGTCGTCTTTAAAGGACAGATCTTGCCAAGGTATTTATACTTATACATGGTCCGACATCCAGTCGAACCTTTCGTTTCTAAAACCTCTTTTTGTTATACGTGCCTGCGCTTTGGGCACCTGAAGTCCCAATGCAAGGGACACCCCCGTTGTCAACATTGTGGGGATAGGGCACATGAGGAGGCAACCCAATGCCCAAAAAGAGATGGCCCTCCATTTTGCATAAATTGCAAGGGCCCGCATAAGGCCACAAGCTTCGCTTGTCCGGAGTATGTTGTGCAGAAAAAAATTAGAGAGTTAGCAGCATACGAAAATATTTCCCTAATCGAGGCTAGAAATCGAATTAGAGGCAATAACAATAAAGCCCCTAACCCAATATACAATTTTAGCGAGTATCCGTCACTGAGCGGCACTCCCCCCTCTTACGCCCTTCCCTCTTTCCTTCCCCGCTTCATCCACATTCCCCTCTTCTTCCTCAGCCCCTCCTTCCCCTCTCCCTCCTTCTTCATCATATTCACAAATCCTAAATCCCAACAGAAAAAAATTATCAACCTCTGCCCCACTTCACATTTCATCTCCTATGCCGTCCCCCTTCTTATCACACCCTCAAAAAAAACCTCCGAGCAGTACCAATCCTTCCCACCCATCCTTCCCACGCTCGACTCCCGGAACTTCCTCCTCCAATCTTTTCCCATCCCATAATTCCCTACTAATCTCTCCTAACGGAAGATTCCCATCCTCCTCGGATTATGGTGTTGCCTCCAGGCATTCTATCCCTCCTCCCACCAACCCTGCTCCATCTCAAATCTTAAAAAGTAACCTAAACTTTAATTTTAACCCAGAGCTATACAATCAGCTATTCAATCTCATTAACCTAATCATGGAAAAGCTCTCCCCGGCACTGAGACTTCTTGGCCTGTACGACGCAGTGTCGGAATTCATGAACTCCTTCCTATTATCCATAAATCCCCGCAACCCCAGGTCCAACTGTCCAAATGCCGGGATCACCTCGGATTAGCCTATCTCAGAATCAGTCTCTTAGGATCCTGCAATGGAATTGCCATTCGCTAGCGAACAAAATAGATCCGGTAGGCACCTTGTTTCAGCGGTATAATGTCTTGGCCTTGTCGGAGACTTGGCTGAGCTCTGGATCTCGGGTGAGCCTGCGCGGTTTTGAGGTGTTCCGGAGGGACTCGCTGACCCGCAATAGCGGGGGCTTGCTTCTGGCCGTCCGCCGTTCTGTGCCGTATTCTGTCATAGACGATTGCGTTCGGTTCGATGGGGGGCTAGAATGCATGGCCATGGTTGTCCACTACGAGCTTTTCGATCTTGCCATTGTCTCGGTGTATAGACACCCGCAGAGATCGCTTTCAAAGCAGGAGTACGACTCCTTGTTTGCCTTTTGTGATTCTTTTACTCATGTGATCCTTTTGGACGACTTCAACGCTCACCACAGCGAGTGGGGCTGTGACCGGTCGAGTAGAGAGGGAGTCACCCTGCTCTCCTCGGCATTGGATTCTTCCTTCACCTGCATCAATGACGGATCCCACACCTTTTTGACGCGCCCGGGTCAATCCAGATCCGCAATAGATCTCTCCTTTGTTTCTCCGCCGATTATCGACTACTGTGAGTGGAACACATTGGAGGATACTCACTTGAGTGACCATTATCCAATTGAAATCAGATTTAACCACCTCTTGACGAAGAAGGAATTTTTTTCGCATAGGATAAGATTGTCATCGAGAGAGAGGGAACAGTTTGTGGTCAATCTGGGCACCAGCACCGGAGTCCTTAGGGTGGCTATCGACGAACCCTCTCTGAGCGGACTGGATAATTACTAGACCTTTCTCAGTCATCTGAGGAACCAGTTGCCTCTCAAACCAGGGGCAAACCGCCGCCGGGGCTCCTCTGGTCGGTCGTCCCCGCACGGGCGAAGAGCCTCCCTTCCGGCTCCGTGGTGGAGCGAGGCCTGCCAGGAGGCGGTGGACCTCAGGCGCGAGCTTCTGTCGATCTTTAAAAGGTCTCCGTCATATGCTAACTTCCTGGCATTCAAGAGGCAAGAGGCCGTTTCGAGACGAGTGTTGAGGGGGGAAAAGAGGAAGGGATGGAAAGAGTTTTGTAAGAACCTCACACCAAACACTTCCATTGCATCAGTTTGGAAGATAATAAAGCGGTTCAAGAATCGCCACATGGGTATCGCCTACATAAAAAGAATACCCATTGGGTATTTAATTTTATTTTTTATATCAAAATATGTCAGATTAAAATATAAAATAACTAAAAAAGTACTTAATGAAAAAATACTTTATTATAGTGTTTTGGAAAGCTCTCGACATAAGTTATAAGAATATGCAATGAAAAATGGGGGTTTCCATTTAAGAAATTGAAAGTGACCTTCATGTGACCTTCAAATGACTATCCAAGGTCACATCAATGCACCATCTTATGTCCCCCTTCGAACCAAACAACTATTGTCTGAAACGTTTTTCCATATCTTCCATATTTTTCGAGGTATTTGACTGGCTCTTTTAAAATGGACCACCCTGTATACAGGGTGAGTCATTTTAATCAACGCACGCAAATATCTCGTAAAGTAAGCAAGATGGAAAAAAATTCTAAAAAAAACAATAAATACATCAGAAAACATTTTTTACTTACAGCAGAAAAATGGAAGTAATACCTGGAAAAAAAAAGGGCAGTTTTTTGTATGTTTCTGAAGGATATACATATAATTTCGATAAAAGATGTAATAACATATATCGTTGTGCAAAAAGACGTACTGCTCTGTGTAGTGGCTTATTAATTAAAGTAGAAGAAAAATATGTTATAAAAAATGGACATAACCACCATCCAAGGCCTTATATTGTTGATATTTTCAATCTAAAGAGTGAAATGATTCGAATGTGTAAAGAGACCACTGCAACCAACAAAGAAAAAATTGATATTATTTCTCGAAAAAATGTTATTGCATCAGCAAACATTTCATTTACTGCAGTAAGATCTCTGTTATTAAGAGAAAGAATCAAAGTACGACCTATATTATCTCAGGCCA